TGCGTTGTAGATTCTTATCCAAGACTTGTATCATTTGATGATGCCATGTGAATCGCTAGAAACATGTAAAGTGTATGGCTAACCCAATAACGAAAGTTTCGTAAGGGGACTGAAGCAGGCTACCATGAGACAAAAGATCTTCTTTCTAAAGAGATTCGATTCGGAACTATTCTATGTCCAAGGTCCAATATTGGAATAATTTCAGAGGTTTTCCTTGACTTTATCCGTGTCAACAAACAATTCGAAATGCCTCGACTTTTTTAGAGCAGGTCCGAGTCAAATAGCAATGATTCGAAGCACTTCTTTTTACACTATTTCGGAAACCCAAGGACTCAATCGTATGGATATGGAAAATACAGGATTGGAAATCTAGTATGAGTGAATGTCAGGTTTTTTCTATGGCTAGTCTTACACTCTGTGATGAATTCATAGGGTACACAGCGGGATCACTTCCTATACTTATTACTAGCACACTGAAAGAGGGGAATCCCCATATTCGTTGCCAAGGCCATTCTTTTGAGATCAAAATCAAAGTGTCTCGACGAGGATCTCTCTCTTTTTCAACCAAAACAAGGATGTTGGGACTCGCTTTGAACGAGCCCTATCGCCTGCAGAAGCGACGAAAGATTTAGTGGTACGTAAAAAACGTAGCATATTTAACCTGGAATCTAACCTATCAACAGAAGCAACCGTGGCTGATTCATTTTCCATAGGGATCAAGAGCGTACTCTCCTTCCTATCTTTGAAAGATAATGTTGGGTAATTCTCTGTTTTCGAAGCATTCGGTTGAAAATCTGCTATCGGATAATCAGCTCTTGTTGAAGCTTTTGGTTGGGAAAGTTTTTCTCAGTGAGACGATCCGGCTCTTGAGCCTTAGTAAAGGATAATTTCTTCATAGCAATCAATAGTGCAGGTTGACAGGGATAGACAGAGAAGTCTCGACTTCGCTTGTTTCGGAATGCACGACTTCCTATGCTCTAAACTCGGATTGGCTTTCTTCTTTGTTATATAATAAGAGGTGCACGGAGTCCAAGTAAAGAATTTTTGGGCTGATATGAAGAGAGGCATTACCAGAAGGAAAGTAGTCCAACTCAATGTCTTACGCATCAGTGGCATTTGAATGAAAGCAGTAAGTCAGTGGCCAAGAATCATCGATTTTGGAGTTACCAGCTCATGGGAATTTCTTTAAGTAAGAACGATCCCCAGCCCTCTTCGTCTTCTCGAAAGGAAGCGAGTGACTCAAGGTATGCCAGCGCTCTTATCTCTTGACCTGAGACTAGGTTGGGGGAGTTCAGTGAGCGAGGAGAAGAGTCGGTAGCTGTTAAAAAGAAGAAATTCAATCTAGATATGAATTGAGACGAAAGCTTGACAAGCCCATTCATTTAAGAAGGAAAGCGAGAAGTTAGTCGAGCACAACCTTCCAATTAAGCAAGGGGAAAGCCCCTCAAGCAGCCACCAAGAAGAATGGAACCGTTGGTCTAAGGATCTTCACTATTGGGCTTTTATCTTATGAGATCCGGGGTTGGGGAATTCCCCGATCCAGTCCTTTCTTGAGTACTTAAGTTTAGTTTAACAATCCAGATGCGGGGGAACCATTATTCCAGAAATCCTGCCTTTGATAGTTATACTAGTTCCATCCTTGTGCTGGGCGGAGGCAAGGCGGATAGAAAGAAAAGAAAGAGTAGGCCTTACCCTTTAGCTAGCCCCTAGGCGAAGGAAAGAAAGAGGGGTAGCTGGCCCTATCCAATTTCCTTCTGGGGGTTCCATCTCTTGAATAAAAGTAGAATCCTACCCTACAGCAGGAAGTCTTCAAAGAAGAAAGAAAATAAGGAAAATAAGAAAGGAATACCAGGATTATCCAGTCTTCCTCAGAGATAGATCGGAGAAAGAGGAGATCTAATGAGAAGAAATACCCGGGGTAAAGAAAGTTTCGTATAACCATTAGCGATTGTCGCTCTTGTCTTATCTGCTGCTGTCTCTGACTGACGAAGAAGGAGTCCCACTACACGAAAAGAAAGAAGGTAGGATCCCGGATGGTTGATGGTTGAATGAATGTGACCAAAATGGCTTTTGTTGACAGAGAGATTGTCTAAGACAAGAAGAAGGAGCAGTTCTCTTTCTCTTTGAACGAATCCTCTTAGAGAAGCCTGTGACCGAATCCCCAGCTTTCGCCTTGAAGGAGTAGGCGCCGTTGGAGTCAGGGTATTAGCCTTTTCTTCAACCATGTCTTGAAAGATAGCCAGTTCATGCTAGAACTCTAGTTACCGTTTCAGGACTGGGCTAAGAGAGACTGGAGTAGTTAAGAAGCAAGGAAAGGAAGAAGGAATGAAGACCCTCGTAGACTTTAAAGCGAGTGAATGCCCGGTTTAGACCATCGGGGAGGAAGCAGAAGCTTCAGTTGTTCACGAATCCGTTTCAGGTTCTCGGGAAGAGGCGAAGGAATAGAAAAGAAGGGGGTGGACAAAGAAGCTGCGCCGGATCTTTCCTGTGCTTTTTGCCTTACCCGATACGCCCCTCCCTAGTAGTAGGGCTAGTAGCAGTAGTAGTCTAAGCTCTTTCTTTGCAAGAATAGGAATAGGGTGCAGCTTACTCTTTGAGGAAAAAGAGGGTGTTTTCAAGTTTAGAAGAATAAGTTGTGCTAGAATCAGCTGTTACAGAATAGGCAGCTATAGAATCAGCTCGGTCCTTTCTTCCGTCATGCTTTTCATAGCTATCCGATGATCCTGTAACTACCGCTGCCGATGCCGAAGTGCTTCCTTCATCGTCTCAAGTAGGGGATTAGGCCCTCGAAGACACTGGAAATCCCCAGAGTCTTCTTCGAATCAGGAAGTACCAGCAGATAATGAAGTAGGTCTGGTCACTCGAGCAGAATTTATGGCCATGTTAGATAGAAAGAACCAGGCCGTAAATGAGTACTTCGATAAAGAGATTCAAGAAATGACCGATAGATATAAACGAGAAACTGAACGAATATAGGAGTCATGGAGGCGTGACTGTGAAACCATACTTTGGTACAGTTAACAAGGTTGGTACCTATGTTAGCGAAAGGACACATCGAGAGGCTGATAGAATTCTCTTAGATATAAACCAGTCTTCTTAGTAAGGCAAGGTGCGTAGCGGGAATGACTAGTCCCACACCCACGGACATCAGGAAGAGAATCGGTTGTTGATTGAATCAAAATAGGTTGCTCTTTAACTTCCGGTCATCTTCTCCCGTTGGTCGAGCCTTTAACCCTTGACCTCTCAGCGATCTGTATCTCGTTCCATCGATCGTAAGTGACGGGCTCTTTTCTCATTTGGTAGAACAAGTGGGAAAGCGAGAAGGGCTTTAGCCTAGCTTCTATCAGGAGCTTGTTGCTTCAACCCGGCCTGTCAGTGCCCAGTAGAGAGCAGAATGAAAGCCTTTGGATGGGAGATTTGAAGCTAGGGTTCATCTTGCATGTGTTAAGCATATACCTAGTTGAAGTAGCATGATGTAAGCTTCTTAGTGCTTTTCAAAAACCATTTGCTTGCAACGCCTTGAGTGGACAGGTCAGACAGACAATACGCCCACTAGATCCTTCATACTATTACTAAAGTACACTTAACACTCATCCAATCTTGAAAGTGGAGTAGAATCAATCGCATACCTTTGGGCATACCTTGAATCTAGCCTACAATCCTTTCTATCTTCTCTTAGGAAATTTATAGTTAGAGGGAAAGATCACTCTAGACATACCATGCATCGGGGAAGGACGCAGGTCGTATATAAAGATATACGATACCACCAGGCGAACAGTCTTATTCATAAGTAGAAAGAGTCCCAAGAGAGGTAAATCAGCAAAGGATAAAGAAGCATTTTCCCGGTAGGCTAAGCCAGAAAGAGAGAAAGAGAAAGAGAGTGTTAAAAGGCTACGCACCTTGGTCCAGAGCGAGGCAAGCAACGGTTGGTTGAACCCGTTCTCTTTAGTTCTATTTTCACTAATCCGAATCGGAGGGTAGAGGATTTTTTGAAACTTTAGCTAGGCTCCTCGAACCAGATTCTATTAGATCTTCTACCGTAATTCGCTAATCTCGATGAAAGAGCAGGTAACTACATAAGGCAGCTTTCCCCGCTCTGTCTTCTCTACGATTTACGGGTACTTACTCGTGCACGGAATCAAACAAGAGGAGGTTGCCTGATGGGACGTCGGCCTTTGCTAAGGACTTTGCCGAGTTGGGTTCTTTTAAGAAAGAAATTGCCAGGTAAGATGCTGACTTTGCCGGGCCCTCTCTTCTAGTAGCCTAGCGCTTCCCCTAATTCTAGTTAGTGACTTCGCTACCTTTACAGAAGACCGAGAGTCAGGTCAGGGGCTACCTTATTAAGCCATGCTCCTACTAAACCACCAAGACGGGAGAATCTGTATCTGATCCTTCCTGGGAGGAGACAGAGTCACAAAAGGAGTGACTTCTGTGCTGGAACGTTGGGACGTCGCCCAGAGAGCCTCTGACAAGACCTCATGCCAGACCCTTGGGTTGTCAGTAAGAATCTTATCTATTATGGTTTTAAGAACCTTATTAGATGACTCGGCCTGACCATTAGCCTGAGCATAGTAAGGTGTTGAATGAATGATCTCAAAACCATAAGTCAAGGCAAATTCCTTCACTTGTTCTCCTGTGAAAACTGAACTCCGGTCGACAGATCTGTGAGATGCCGAATCTATGAGATAGTATTCTCTTTCAGGACCTTAATGACTATTTCTGAGTCACATTCTTCAAGGATATGGCTTCCGCTCACTTGGTCAAAAAATCCGTTGCAACAAGTATGAACGTATGTTGCTTGCTTGATGGTGGATATATCTTACCAATCAGATCCACTGCCCATACACGAAATGGCCATGGTTTGACTATAGGATGCAATTTCTCAGCTTTGTATGGATATGGATCCATTTCAACTAGTTCAAATAGAGCTATTCTAGCCTTTGAAAGCTGTCCAATCGGTCCTTGCTTCTTACCGCCCCGTGGGTCCTTCAAAGCCGGGCAAGATCCGACTTGAAATCGAGCTACAAGGCCTCTAGAAAGCTCACTACCTTCACTCGCGCGCCTCACTGTGCCCTAGGGAGAAGGGAGCTTACTCCGCTTAGAGAGACTGGAGTAGGGGCCTAGCGGTAGGGAAAGAGTGAACACGGGGCTATCTCCGATCCGGAAAGGACTTTCTCGATTCGCATCTTCAGATAAAGCAGGCGAAAGTCATTCCTCTCGGCTGAGGGCTGCGAACGTATAACAAGGGGTTAAGGAGAGCTCATTAGCCTAGCGGTCAAATTCTGTCTATAGAACCGGGGGAAAGCCGGTGACTTCATTAGTTTGGCATCAGTCGCAAAGTAAGAAAAGAAAGAAGCAAGTGTAGCGACCTTACTTCCGAGCTTAGCTCTTTTCAGCTTTGATGGCCGATGTTCTTGCTTTAGTTGAATCAGCCTATAGTTCGAGAGAGAGTATGACAGTCTTTCTTATCTCAATTCGGTTCTTTCTTCGAGCAACATGGGTCTTTTGGGTCCGTTTCCGATCAAGATAGAACAATTAGAGACCAAGACCGAGCTTTCGGTGAGAACTTCCCGAGAGTCGCTGGTATGGCAGCTTTGTGGAGGGGAGCAATGGCAGAGATTCCGCCTAAGGCTAATTAGCCTTGTTTTGGCGTCTATATTGTGTTTTTCATGAAGATTATGTGAACGAATAGAAAGGTAAAAGAGGTTATTCAGTAGCCATCGCGGGTTTCATTACTTTTCTTCCATCCCGTCATGAAATAGGGGTGAAGATCGGCTCTTTTAGACCGGATTCAGATATTGAATGGCCTTTTTCTAGGGTTAGGTACTAGAGCCATAGCCATTGATTCGCGCCCTTTTGTACTGGAAAATTTTTCTTTTCAGAAAAGATCTTTGCTATGAATTTAAAGTATGGAAAGAAGATTCTTAAAGTCAGTTTATCTCTAGGAATAGGATAATCTCATATTCATATTTGAGAATCCAAGGCAAATTCTTTCTCCCGCGGTCGAAGAGAATCTTGTCGACTATTTCCGGCTAGTACTATCGGGAACGCACACTCCTAGATCAAAGCTTGACTTCGGGCTTCACCTAAGTCCTTCTAGCTTCGCTTAGCAAGTCAAGTTAGACTCGTGAGGTCAGTGCCCAAGTCGCTATAGAGTATAGGACTTATGTAGATATAAGATAATCCATCCTTTTAGGATGGGCTAAGGTTTATTACCGTACTCCCTTCACTCTTTTAGTTTAGGGTGGGGAAGACTTCGTACCTTCCTTTACGTAGGCTAAGCTAGCGGATCAGAGAGAGAAGCCTGAGTTCCAGCTCTTGGAAAAAGTTCAGTAAAGTCAGTAGAGCTAGTCCTTTTATTTATTTAAAATAGCTATTCTGATCTATCAATTTATAAGTAGTCATTTATATAAAGATATCCTTCCAGGTACGAATGGAGCTTAGTTGTTTTTCATGCTTTCTTGCTAACCATTGATCATTTATGGTTGAAATCGCAAACTCTTTAGAGTTTGGGAGAGAGACCTCCTACCTTTCCAAGTCAAGATAGGGAAGTAAAGTAGAGTGGAGAATCATCCGATACCGCTGCCTTCATACTTGCGCTGTCCTAATAGCGATATGCTTAAGAGAGGGAAGTCGTGTTCGTAAACTCACCCTTACTTTTGGAACTTTAGTCTCTTTACCTTTCCCAGCTTAGAGGCATGTAGCGAAGACTTAGTGACTCCCCAAGGCATGAGTCAAAGAAAATGCTATATGTATCATCTCTTTTTTTGATTTGACCGGTGGGGGATAGCCATTGAGCGGGGGTTAGTGTGCTGGTCGGGCAGAAAGGGTAATCCTCGAAAGGCTTCGCAGATCCGGCATAGGGGGAATACTGCTTATGGCGTTGCAAAGGAAAGAAGCAAAGTCTTACAAAAGGCTTGAGGAATCGGAATTGAGGCTTTTCAAGAGGCGCTTTATTCTTTCTTATGGGGATTGGCAATCAATGATTCTTCCTTTTTAGTGCAATCTCAGATCAGGGTAAGATGATCTTTCCCTGCTTGGTTATTCCGTTCCTTAGGCCTAACTTGCTTGCTTGACTACAAGCTATGGAGACAGTACTCCGTTAGGTCAAAAACCCTGCCTGCCTGAAGATTCATTGATTAGATTGAACCTAGCGGGAAAAAGTAATTTTGCAAAGTCCTTTAATAGCTCCGATCCGGGAACAGAACTTTCTTCTTTTTTATAGTTTTTAAATGTAATGTATATACATTATTATTAAAACTTAAGGAAAAGAGAGACTGACTTCCCTAATGTACGGAAGGAAGTTACCCCAGCACTGACCGAACCATAAAAGCTCTTGCATTCATGCCTGCTTTGCTCTTTCATGCCAGCGTCTACCTTTAGGCCTGGTTCCCCCTCTCTATCCTTCACTGACTAGACGGACCTGGCCCAATGTGAATAAGATCTTTAGACTTACCCCGAGCGTCAAGTCAAGGCGATGAAGCAGGCTCAAGGCCCATCTTATTATAAGAGTTCTCTCTCTCCCCGGGAATCATAGCCTAGTCAAGTACCCCAGAAAGGGAATCCACTTCTGACCTTAGGTAACCCCACGCACGCTAACAACTTTGGAAGCGCTTGCAGGCTAAAGATAAAGAGCTTAGGCTTAGGAGCTGGTACTGGTCTCTTGTGGGCGAAATCTCTATATTCAAAAAAGCCAAAATCCACTTTTTGAGACTTAATTATCCGGACTTCTTGCTCTAGTTGGCATATCCCCTGTCTATGGGTTGACAAAACAAAGGCATCTACTAATAAAGAGACTTTCGAAAGCGAATTAAAGATCAGTCTACGATCAGGGCTGCTTCGAGCATTTCTTACTTTTGATCAACTAGCTCGCGCTCTAGTCTTTCATTGATCTTCTGTGCTCCTGTCTCGAAGGTAAGCATTCATGACTTTCTTAGCCAATTGGAAGACATCCTCAGAATGCCCTCTTTTCATGTTAAAGACCTGAGTTAAGGGCTGCGAGAAATGTTCTAGTTCCGCGATACGAGTTTGACTCTCGCTCTGAGACAGTAGAGTTCTTTTTTGATTAAGGAAGTCAGGGGCTCCCTTCCTTTAAGACTTTCCCGTCCAGCCGCTTGAACTCCCTTCCCAGGAAGTTCTTAGCTCCTGAAGTTGATGCCTTCGGACTAGTCTTCTCCACGTTCTAATCTGCTTTCTCGCTTTCTGCTTTGACTTTCTACAAGAAGTTCATTCCTTCGGCTTCCTTTCTATCCGTTCTTGCCCTCTTTCCTCCCTCCACAGGAAGGCGTTTAATTCCTTTGGTTTGGAAGCGAGACAGATGTTGGGAAAAGCAAGTCCTCGGTCTTGACTTTCTTACTCACCCTCTTAGCTGCTATATGTCCAATCTCTAGTGGTGGTGGGAAAAACCAACCCGACCTCAGACTCTTTCTTCCCACCCCTTCACTGGAAACGACTTCTACGTACCACACCACCGGGCCCGAACCATCCGTGAGCATATTAATAGCTTGAAACAAGATGCAGTTGTAGGCTTGCTCGATCCCAGACATGTAATGATTCGCCTTCCTTCGCGAGAGGATTTTCTTACTCCTTGGTCCAGGGAATCCCATTTAATACACAGTTCCTTGTTCCCTTTGTTTCGATGGACTCTATCCTTTAACCCTAGGGCTGAATCCGAATTTGCCGCCGTTTTATTTCATAACCTATCTTCCTTTGCTATTTTTTAATCCTTCTTCCGTGAAGGAGATTGTAGCTTCGTTTGGTACCCTTCTTCGCGTTGATGATCGTACTCTGGATCTCTCGAACCCCATTATGCTAGGGTGTGCGTCGAGGTTACTGTTTCTAATCCCCAACCGTCAAAGGTTCTCATTTGGATTGGAAAAGACAACTCCTTCTACCAAAAGGTTTTTTATGAAAGCAATGTGTCCTACTCCTGCCTGAGCTTTCCGATCAACTAATCCCCTATTTCAGGGACATCTCTGTGTTAGGTAGGGCCAGGGATCTCTGATTAGTCGAATGAGCCCATCCCTCTGGCCTATCATTTATTGGTCGATCCGGCTGGTGGCTCCTGTATCTCCTGCGTCTCCATGGGAGCCCTTCATACAAGTTTGCTGATAGGTCTAGTCGAATCAATAATCAATATAAGTTTACTGACCCGGCTCGTCAATCGACGATCTACTGTTCCCTCTTCTCTTAGTTGCAGATGCCCATGCTTTGATTCGAGAGCCCTAGCCAGTGATGAATCCCCAGTAAGATCGGAGTCTTGAATTCCTCCTCCCTTCAGTCCAGTTTGAACCCGTCCCAGCAACGAACACCTTCCTACTGCAGAGGATCTGCCCTTCCCCTAGAATCCACTCCGGGTCGGAGGAGCAGCTAGTCCTTCTTGAGCAGCCGAGATAAGATATTGAACAACGAACATTTTTTTGAATTCCTTGCCAAACCCTGGGATGAGAGGGAAGGTCGATTTGACTCGAATCCTGGACCTGATCTTTAATCCTACACCGGTTAATGACGCGATGGGAGAAGTTTTTCTTTTTTCATCAATGCTGGCCCAGGCTCGTCCATGCCCAATCCCAATGGACAAACCTTCGATCCGCCCCTCACTCTATAATCCACTCGTCTTCCCCAGTCCCCGAAGCCCTCCTCTCCTGGGCACTCTTTCTCAACTCGAATCTTAAGTTCAGCGGCTTTCATCGTTGACGAACACCTGCGCTAATAAGACAAAGAAGTTGGGAGTCTATGCCTTGAATGAATCAGTAACAACGGATTAGTGGAATGAGGGATCAAGAGACGGATAGGGGGGAAGGGCCTAAAAATCATTGGTGGACCCTCCCTTGAACGGTCACGTAGCTCTCAACTGAGTTGTTTAGGTTCTTGAATTCCATCTCTAGTTGGGGTTTCGGTTCGAAGGTTAGAAAATGTGGTGCGGGTTCATCTCTCTCGACCAGTTCAGGTTCAAAGGAAAGGGTGATCAGCGGGACCCAGACTTTAGATCTCTTCTCTATGGTGGGAGGTTTTTTTCGTATCAAGAGTGTGTTGGGGAGGCCAGGGGAGACGGATTGGATCGAGAGGCGATGCCTATGCCTCTTCTTTATCGATAGAATTCCCATCATTTGCAGTCTCCGGCGAAGAAGACAAGGGCGAGGCCCCGATTTCATTGCCTCAACCTCCATCCGTCATTAGTAATCTCAATCAGCTTTTCCTATTCACTAGTACACTGCGCGCTACAACTAGCAGCCCCTTTACTAGTAAGGGAAAACGCTAGCGCGCAACGGCTGAAAAGCCAGCAACTTGTTAGGAGTAGGTTCCAACCTTTCTTATTATTAGTAAGAAAGGCGCAAGGCCCCCTAGGGGCTGCTTGCTGCTCGACTCTATCTCTAAAGGGGCTTATGCACTCTACTCGCTGCCTACTCCACTCGTTATCACTAAACGACGAAGCCAAGAGCGGAAGGAGGGACTTGAACCCTCAACCTCAGCCTTGGCAAGGCTATGCTCTACCATTAAGCTATTTCCGCCAGCTACGGTAGTGGCGAAGCACTACTGAGCAATTCACGTATCACTTGATACAGACGACTTCTGTTTTTCCGCCGGACCACACTCTTGACCCCCGATCGAGCTACGAGCACGAGTAGGTAGGCGGCTAGGGGGGCGGCTGGGCTGGGAAGGTTCCAGCCTTCTTTTTTTTGCTTCGCGTCAGATGAGATGATGATTAGTGGGTCAGGTCCAGCGTGTGCTCTTGATCACAATCACTAAAGGGGCGGGCTGGCGGGGCTGCCTTTTCAATCAATCTCCGGCCGTTCAGTGCCGCTATTGGTGCGAGTTGTAAGGAGTCTTGGTCTCGAGTCGAGCTGGGGCGTCATTTCATTCTCGTAACGGGAGTGAGTGCACCGCAAGACCAGACAAGTTACTCCTTCGCCTCGCAGCGGCGGTATCTGTCTTTTAAGTTCAGTCATTTCCTAAGACGGCTCCTCTTATTCTAAGATAATCCAAGCAGCAGCTCCACAAGTCCGCTCGGAAACAGTCGATTTCTGAGCCATTCGTTCTCCCCTCTCGGTTGGCCTTTGCCAGCCACTAGAGCAAGTAAGAGAACCTACAGTGAATGAACTTAAAGAACCGCAGATTTGGATCGGATTGTACACCTTTGTGTCTGGCTATGTATATGGATGTTCATAAAGATATGACGGCCCCTCGCTCTCCTAGAGCAAAGTGGCTTCGCACCTACTTGTTGTGTCTCTCGTCATAAGACTATAGATAACGCAAGAGAGAACTGATGACTTCGCGGATGGAGAGGGATTCGAACCCCCGGTATCCCTATCAATACTTCGGTTTTCAAGACCGACTCTTTCAACCGCTCAGACATCCATCCCCTTCGCGCTTCGCTCGCCCTATCTATCCGCGAGCTGGCAGGTAGGGGCTTATCTATGTGATTCGCTACGCTTGCTTGCGCCTATCGGCGGGCTCTATTGCCTGCCGGTTAGCGAAACTTGGTAGTACGAATCGCTACGCTTCGCTTCTTTCTATATGATAATATGCACCTACCTTGCTGCGCTCCCTGCGGGTAATAGCAAGAGAGTGAAGAACGAATGATCCTCCAAAAAGAGTGATTGAGTCCGACTCAAGCGAGTGAGTGAAAGGCGTGGCAAGAGAGCGAGTTCAACTCGCGAACGATCAGCAAGTGAAGTACCGATCCTTTTGCGCCAGTACTGTTGCGAGACTGGTACTTGACGGCTCACGAGCAACATATAGACTAAGGTAAGGTTGCCCATCACTCTCTCGCTCTTTTTTGAAGGCCTTTTCTTCTATTTTCTTTCTAGTATAGTACCATAAGAAGACTGAACGCCCAGCTTCGCGGAGCAGCTCTCTCCCCAGCCCACAGCATAGTGTGGAATCTGGATCGTTTCATCGAGCACCATTTCTTTTAGATAGAAAGGTGTTCTGACTCTATTGGATCAAGTCATAACCTACGCCTTCTACTAGTATACTACTATGGAGAGACTAAGCTCTATTTCAGAGATTGGGCTCTCTTACTGTGATTAGCCCCTACTAGTAAGAAGCTCTTCCCGAGCCAGGTTCCCTGGATCTACGTGTTCCTAGTAGGGCCTAAATGGATGAATTAAGAGGCGCGCCCAGGGGGTAGACTTCAAGAGCTCTTGCTCTGCGTATCCTCCTACTTCTTATTCTGAGGATGAGGAAGAATACGAACCGCCTACTCGCCCTACCATTCATTCTAAAAAAAATGAAAGCTGCTCGCCTTCACTAAGAAAACAATCCCTCCCCTTCTGTTACCTATTTTGACTCATATCTTCGGTATACCTCAATACAAGACAAGCACAGGAAAGGTGCTTCTTCCAAGCAAAACCGGGCTATCGCCCTATTCTCTCTCAATTGCCTATCCTTTATAGATGAGGGGGAGTACCTTAGCAGTAGCTTCCAACACTTAAGATTGACCTCCTCAAGTGCAAGATATGAATGGTTTATGAATTTCATACGGGACTACTTTCTTACCTATAAAAGTTCAACCAAATAAGTTTACTAAAGAAACTGACCTAAGATAGCTCTCTCTCTCAAATACAAATCCCAAGAAAGAGATTCCTTGGATAATTTTAATTTAAGGCGTTTGTCCTACTTATAGTATAAATCAGTCTTCCAGCCTATCGAAATTCGTGTTTTTATTAACCAACAACACATGCACTTTGTTGGCACTCACTCACTCAAAAAAAAGGTTATTCAATCCACTAGTGCAACTGAAGGTGCGTAGCCTCTTCTGAACCGAAAGAAGAAAGAACTCATAACCACTGCTTGTGAACAGCTCTCCTCAACTGAAGGCGCACCTACTGTTACTAGAAGTCTAGTCTCTCTCAGGTCCAGTTTCGATCTCGAACTAACTTACTTTACTTAATAGGCCGGAAGAGAGATTATTCAGAAAACCCGATTTCCTGTCCTGTCTTAAGAACCTGACTCAAAAGAGAAAAGAAGACCGGACTAAAAGAGATATCACTTTTTCACTTTTATATCCAGATTGGAACTGGATTTGAACGTCTTTGGATCCTGAGCCGGCTCCACTTTCCGGAATCCTTGCTCCTGGCTTATATTCACATAGGCCACTCATAAGAATAAGACGTTCAACTCCCTAAAACACGTATAATTGAGAGACTCATAATCTCAGTGCCTTGGGTAAATGCCTACCTTCGGGAGAATCTTACCGAACGAGTTTCAACCCTGTCCTCTTCGCTTCCCAAGATATTTAGGGAAAAGGGCCTTGTCGGCCACCGCTTGCTGACGACGGAACGCATCGTCAATTAAAAGTCCTCGCGTTGGAAGGGTAGGTGTTCGGCATGTCCCTTGCTTGCGAACTTATTTAGTAGGGCGGGTTTGGGGATCCCATTCCTCACGTTTCCCGTTGTCCCCAGACTTCATTCTTTCAACACTTTTATACTTTCTTAATAGTCAGGCGTGTCCCTGTCTCTGTCTCTAACAAGTGTGTGTGATCCACCGATTTACTGAGTGACTCTTTCTTACCGCTGGAGTCCCCATCTCTTAAATTAAAGCCTTATCAGACTTCCGATCCATCCCTTGTTTTTGCCGATTGAAGAAAGCCTTATCAAACAAGCGAGAAAAAGCCCGGCGCTTTCTATGTTATTAGTCAAGCCGCCCTACAATCAAACTAAAGCGCTAACAAGCAACGGCTTTCGCGCAGCTCAAGGAGTTGCTTGTTGCTTTCGAGCCGGAGCTTGCTGGGTAGTCAAGTAGTCCGTGAAGGTTAAATCACACTTGTGTTAAACAAGCAGAGTAGTCAAGCCAGAGAGGCAAAAAAAGCAAGAAGCGGTTTTCGTTCGATCGACGAAAGAAATCGTACTTTCACTGCTGTGGACCGGCTTTCATAAAGCACCTTTGGGCAGCTGCTACTATTGGGATGGGATCCAATTCCGAGATCAATTCGACAATGAAACTCTTCAAGCAATGATCTTATCTATGTCATTTCTCTTGACGCGATACAAAAGACGACTTTCGAGAGTCACGGCTACGCCCCTTTGCTTCTTTTGGCATTCCACTTGGGACGAAAAGCATGGGCCTTACTCTTCTCTTCTCTTAAAGTACTTCCCCTTCCTTACTTGTTTAGTCTTGTTACCGCCCCGTGGGTCCCTCCAACCCGACAATATACGACTCTACGACCCTTGGGCTACTTTCCTATTGATTTAGGAACTATTGACATATTAGATCGGCATTGTCAAATGATTTAGCGCTTAGCTACTAAATAGAATAAAAATAAGTAGCTGAAACCTGCTCTTACAAGACGAATCTCTTTCTATACTATATTTACTACGCAGCATCTCGAAAGAGGTTCCCTTAGCAAGTCCAACGAGCTTAGGCTTAGATCCCGTGTTCAGGAAAACCTTCTATGGGTGCCTGAGTTCATAGCAGTTCTTTCTCTGATCCTAATCGTATCGTACGTACAGCTTTCTTTGTCTTGAGGGTGAGGAACGTCTTTCTAAGAGCCTTTCAAAGGTCAGGAGCAGAAGTGTCTGAAGCAGGGATTGAAGACAGGGGAAAAAAAGTCTACTCGACCATAGGGAGAGTCGCAGATTGGATAACGAGATCGAGACCTCGGAGGGAGCAACCATTTGATTCATTGCCTCTGTCCCGTAACCGTAGCCCCTCACCTACTGCTCTGAATCTGACCAGGCAAGCCTCCCCCATGTCAGCTAGCAAGCAAGCCATAAGCAAAGCGACGGAGCAGGCTCTCTATCCATCCTAGGGCAAGCACTCGTTTAGGGAGATGAGTTCAAGGGCAGGCTATTCTTTTCGAGTGAGTTTACGAACTTCACTTCATCCTTATATAAGGTATATATGTATGAAGTCTCCACATTCTTTTTGAGCGAGAGGAGGAACAGTATAAACAAACAAAAAAGAATATAGCCTGTAAAGCCTTTCTCTTCCGAGCTGAGCGGTTGGTATAGGAGCAAGCGAATAATCGCATCCCGTTAGGTTTGGAACAAAGTGAGC